CTTCATATTTTGCTATTTATATCTTCTGTGTTTGGTCCAATAATGTTGCCTATATAATTAAATCTGGACAATTTTCCCATCGATTACAACTCTTCTCATTTCTTTCCTTTGAAATGCCATTGTCTTAGAGAAATAAGATGAAAAATTTGTATTGGAGGTTGCTAATAACTAGAGACCAAATTTATATACAGTTAACATACCATGTGAAATATGTTGTTTAATAAACACTGACATCGTAATATGAAGGATTAAAAATTTATTTAAAACTTAAACAAAAAAATTGTATATTAAAAAGAAGTATTTTGGAAACAATTTTGCTTTTGTTTTGGACACAAATTAATTCAGTTTATTTCAGACAGACAGTTCATTCAGCACAGAACCAGAGTTGACTAATACTAGTTCTGATATTTACTAACAGTGTCAATATACTTTTGAGCACATACACATTATATGCTAGGAACTTTTAATCTAGTGAAGATTCTGCGTGTAGTAATTTCAAATTGTTTTGTTTTTTATTGGCATAACATGATTTGTCAATATCACATAATAAAGTAGTTGAATGAATTATATTTACATCCAATAAAACACAGTATTATTTTCTCAATATAAATGGTAATTATTTCTTTCCCATCTTTCTTTGTTTTAATTTTTAATGTAGGTTACTAATGATTATCTTGAGGTAGCAGCTGAATTGAAAAACTATATGGACAAGAAATATACTGTGTGGTTAGATAAATCAATTCCTACTGTTCAAAAAAGTCTCAAAAAAAATGTTTTAAAATGTATGCATATTCACAAGACAAAAACCGGTAAGCATGTTCTAAATAATAATGAAAATAATAAATATAATAATCATTATAAGTTTGCATACTCAGGAATACAAATGCATGAAAATCTTGTAATTAGTTTTTAAGAATATTAATTTCATACTTATTACGTGTCAACAAAATTAATTTTTTCCTTGCATGCTTCAAATTGTGTAGATACGTACTGTTGCATATTTGAAATATTTATTTGAAAAATAGGTGAAAAGTCAAGAACTTGGGAAAGTGCCGCTCTTCAAAGACTTTTAAAAACTAGTTACAGTGTGTACAAAATGAAAGAAAAGGATGCAAATCGACGCACATCATATGCAAGCACTCAGTCTTCTATTCCTGTTTGGAAAAGGCCACCTACACCAGTCCATGTAACTATGAGTCAACGTGCCCGTGCCACCAAACAACCGAAGTCCATACTCACTGGAGTGAGCTTGCGGGTGGCATTATTTGCCACAAGGTTCAAAAGAAAAAGAAGTTCTAGATTTACTCATAGTCCTACTTATAGTTCTGAGTATGAAATGCACAAACATGATCTTCGTAGAGATCACGGCTTTGATGATTATGAGATAATGGAATGGGAAGATACTCCAGAGATGACTAAATTTCAAAATTTCCTTCTGAACTGGATTGAAGATAGGAGGGGAAGTAGGTATCTACCATGGCCAAGTGTAATGAAAAGTACAATTCTTCTCGAGTACAATTTACGTTTTGATGTGAACTTCAACAATGACCTGCTTGATACTTTGGAAGAAGCGATATTAATGGAGGATCTGGGATATTCCTTACCAGTTTATCTTCATGATATTGTTGTTCAGAAAGATAATATTGCATTGGAACATGAAAAAATATGTAAAATGGTTTCATCATATAATGATTTATTGTCAGGTTTAGCAAAGGCTGAGGTAAGAGCAATGTTTGAGATTTATCATATGTCATTTAGAATTCCATTTATTTTCCTTCTTATTTTTCAGAATTTTTCTTTTGTAGCTTTGTTTTTTGAAAAATCATTTAGTAGAGATAGAAGAAAAATTTCACAGAGGCCTTGTTCGTGTTAACTGGGCTAGTTTGGATATTGATCATTATATCAATGTGTGTCAAGAAGATTTAACATCATTATTTAATCTCAAAAAACAATTACACAAAATTGCGGATGAACTTCAAGCAAGAGTTCGATTGTTACCAACATATAATCTTTTCTATGTCAAGAATCCTGGAAAAGGTTATTTTAGAATCTCAGCAAAGGTGAGCTTATTGTTCATAATATAGGTTTTGTGTTGATGGATTAGAGTGACAATAATCTACCTTTTCTTTGCAGGGTTTTTTTGCGCAGTTGACAAAGTTTCGTAATGAAGAATTTATAAAAATTGTTGCCATATACAGAACAATAGCACCTATGCTGATTAAATTAGAAAGTCTAGTATTACAGACATGTACAGGGACATCCACTTTAATGGTGCCCTACTATTCTGTTTGGGAAGCTGAAGCTTATGATGCACTTCTAAAGTATGCTTCCTAAATTAATCAAAAAGCATGATACTTAAGGTATTGAGATGTCAAGGGGAATTAGTGACACTTTTCTAGTTATGAAAAAATGAATTTCAGTTTACTGGTTGTATTTAGTTCTGTATTAAGAATTCATTATTGAACTATGTAATCTCATGTTTCCACTTATAACCACAACATTTTTATCTACTTTAACTATACACTTCTGTACTTCAATTTTCACAGAAAGCATCCTTGTTCCCCTTAGCCTCTCAATGTTTCAATTGATATGTAAATAAGGAAGGATTAAAATTGGTAACTAATAAGAACATTGTTTTCCTGTTTTTATGCAAATCAATTGCTTTTTATATTATTTTACGAACTTGAATTACTAGAATAACTAGTTGGGCTCATGTGAACAGTCTGAACTTTGTAAATCATTGTTTTAAAGCTGAAAATATCTTTGTTTTGGAATCCACCTTGAATGGCCAAGCTCTGAACTGTGTGTAACATCATATAGGCCTCATGCTCTATAAGGGTATACACTCTAATATTGATAAGAGATAACAGAAATTGATAAATGAAAGATTTACGCCATGTAATTAAATTTCACAGAATATCAAATTGTCAATTTAATTATATATTAATGTGGAGATTCTGCACGTTTCTGGTCACCTGTTCTACAGAATGGAGTAACTGGAATATCTATACCTTAAAAAATGTGATTGAAGGTCCAAAATGATCTTATTTTAAAGATTACAGCCTAAGAGGCTTAAATCATTTATTTTTATGAAAACAAAATCAAGTTTTAAGGGTCTAGGCTGCACCAATCTAGAGTTATGCACAGAGGTAACATGTGTTGCAGCATTGTAGCATTAATTACAAAATACTAATTGTTTGTCCGAAAGATCTTTGATACTCTTGTGAGAGGTAATCCTTATCCAGCCATAATACATTTTTGGAGTTTGTGTTAATGACATCATATAAATCATACAAAACAGCTATCTCCCCTTAGGATATTATATATTGGATTTTGGTATAGTAACTACAATATTAAAAATTGATTTCATTATTGACATCCCATTAAAGATTTTTGACAAAATAATTAATCTTTCTGGTGAATTTTAAATAGATTTACAATGTTTTTCTTTGTATTGCATTAAAATAATTCTGTATGTATGATCTTATAGGTTATGCATAATTAATATTAAAAGTTTCATTCGATTTCTACATACCAAGACAGCCTATTTTAGAGTTGATACAACACTGAATCCTCCTAATGTTGTCCTTTGCCCATCTCCAAAGGGGATTTATAACATTATAATGCAAAGTGTCCGTGACTTTGTAGAGAGGTAAGTGTAATTCAAATGGGAAATTTCTTATAGTAGTATTTTTGGAGATACTAGTTTTTATTCATTTTTTCAGATTTCGATTCTTTAAACGGTGGTTATCAACTACTTGCATTGAATGTCCTCCTCTGGTAAATGAAGAAACTGGTGAAGAATATGAATATACTTTTTTTGAAGAAATTATGAAAATTCCACAAGTAATAGAATTACTGACAGAAACTCAGAGGAGAATTCAACATGTTGTAACTAAGGTCTCTAAAACTGTATCAAGGTAATAACTAGTTTTTATTATTTACATCTTAAATGATCTATGAATGATTTCTTGTCACAAAAAAGGTAGTTTATAATGCTGGAATTCAAAAAAATAATTTAAAGGTCTAATAATGAAGAGTAGATTGCACTAAGAAAGAAATATGAAGCTTTAGTATTGAAAATGTAAGACATGCTTAAAAAAAAAGAACTTTCGCAATCTTTAAAATTTCAGTGATTTTATTGAGAACCAAGCTTATAATATATTTATAAGTGCACTTAGTATAATAAAATAAATAAACAAAAAAGGCAGCTATTTTTGAGAATATTTTGAAAATTCTTAAGAGTGTTGTGTAAAGTACTCCAAAAGTTAAATTTTTTTCCACACTACGTATAACAGAAAGTTAAAAGAAAAAGACTGCATACACATCCTGCACTTGGACATGTATTTATAGGGGCATTTGAATGTGGACACATTAATCAAACGATGAAAATATATGATATAAACTTATGAATTGCAAATAGTTGTGATAAAGATACACCAAATTTACAGAAAGTTCAGTTAATTTCCAAGTGTTATAAAATAGCATTTTTAAGGTGTCCTCCTTTTTCTCAAATGGAAGTTGGCACCCAATTTAGGGGGCCTAAATTTTTTCAGTAATTGAAAATGAAGCTTTTTGAGGAAACAGCAGCAGTGGCTCTTCATGTGCCATTCTTTTGGGTAGTTTTGCTATGAGGGTCTGCAATACAATGTTTGTTCCTTTGATTCAGTACACAGACCTATATTACTTACCTGTGTATGTAATAACTTCTTCAGGTTGCATGAGCAAATAAGTCGTTAGACATTTTTTCACTATTGCCAGTCAGGAAATATTCTTGATGAATCTATCTCTGTTATGAACTTTCAGATGGAAAAGGTACCAAAATTTATGGTTGTATGACAAACATCGCATTACTGAACTGTTTGCCAGCCGCAACCCTCCTTTAAGAGCATATGATGAAATGTTCTTTTATTATGAAAATGTCATACAAGAATGTAAAAAACTGGATTTGTACATTGATGTAAATTGTGTACGGTAAGTTATTATTTTGTAATATACTTTCAGAATCTTTTGTTTCTCATTTTTGTCTTCTGCAGCAAGTATGCATTTGTGCAGAGAATTATTCTGTATTTTGTATGTTAGAGCAATGACTTTACCTTAATGGTATTGTATTACTGAAATATTCATGTTTGGCCATTTATTTAGAACAGACTTTCCTTAACTATTGGAGATAACTATCTGGATAAATAAATTAACTACATGTAAAGTTTGCATTAGTTTATTCTTGCGCCAGTTTCGAGGACATACTTTTTCCTCAGAACTCCTTTTTCCTCAGACCTAGCTGGATTCTATACCATGGTGCCTTGGCACAGGCCAATAAAATTTTTAAAAACTTATGGACCTAATTTTGTATTTTGATGTTTACATGTATGCCTGATGGGGAGGGAAAAGAATATCCTCGAAACTGTCACAAGAATAAACTAATACAAACTTTACATATAGTTAATTTATTTAAATAGATAGTTATCTCCAATCGTTAAGGGAAGTCTGTTCCAAATTATTGCCAAATATAAATGTATATGTATGAGAATATGAACAGACCCGTAGACACTTAAATTATTGACTGGCATGCTCGAAAATATCATGAATTTCAATGCTCATGATTTATGATTTCAAAATTTCTAAATAATCTAAAAAAAATCCTTGAAATTCATTTTATTTGCAAGAAAATGGAGAAGGCAAAATGAAGATTTAAAATTTCAGGCTTGTGTACGATGGAACTGTTAAGTCAAAACTGACTAGGGACTTCAAAAATGCTAAGTTAATTCCCAACATTTATTTATACAAAATCTTTTGTTTCCAGTATCTATGGTTTTCTTATGTAATATTGTATGTTATTGTAGTGTATATATAATTTTATGGAATATTGAAAAAACGTACTTCATTGTATGAAATCTGTATTATTTGCAGAATAAATTCCATACCAGTTATTGAAGCTATTGTTGAACATGCACTTCAATGGAAATATCAGTATGGATCTTGCCTTGCTGCCCAAGCAAGAGAGAAAATGAACAGTTTCATGAATTATCTAATGGTAATTTAGGATATATTCATATCCCAATATAATGAGAAGTTGGAAAACCCTTTTTCTATGTCTTTAATTAGCTTATTACATTGCTTTTTTGGTTCTGCAGCAGACCTCCCTTACCATAGGTTCCTGAGACTTTTAGGCCCATCACCCTTCGGCTTATGCCATTTTGCTGGTACAGACATACAGAATCACCTCTTCTTCAATTGCAGAGATGTGTGTGTGGGTGGTCTGTTGACACATTTCTGCTTGATTTTCATTGCTTGCTTCCTTGCTTATGTATTTATTTATTTTATAATTATTTAATTACCTTTAGTATTTTCTGTCTCAGTATAATATACTCTAATAGTTTATAAAAGTTTTTTGTTTTGGTATATAGAAGTATAATCATTTTTAAATTGCATAAGTTCATTTTTACAGGAGTTAAAATCAGCACTTGAAGTACCAACAGATAATCTTCAAGGCTTCAGATCTGTCTTACAAACAATTGCCAACATTCACAGTGATTCTCTTGAAACTGAGTTCCGATTCCAACTTATTCGAGATAGTTTTCATACTTTGGAGATCCACAATATTCCAGTAATTGTATTAGAGAAACTTTCACTAATTTTTCTGGTAGTAGAATTTGGAAAGTAATTTGTATCATTTGTAACTTTAATTTTAATTCTCAGTTTCCAGAGGAAGAGTTAAAACTTGCAAATGATCTACCAATCCAGTGGGAAGATCTGTACAAAGCTGCCATTACACGAAGCAACAGATTAGAATCAACTAAGCCCAAGTTCTCAGCTTTGGCTCAAACAGAAATTGATGACTTCGTAATAGTTTGCAATGAATTTGCAGAAAGATTTCAGAAGGAAGGACCACCATCTGTTGTAGAAGATTTGGACCAAGGCTTGGCTCTTATGGAGGTATTTTTTGTTTTAATTTCTTAACTTGCTCAAATTTCACTTCTGTATTTATCAAATTTTGCCCATCAAAATGCCACATTAAATTTTCAATTTCTTTTCTGAAAGACCTCAAAGTATGTGTGTTCAATGAAGCTTAGGATATTATATTTATTAAAACTATTTTATATATTTAATCAATTCAGTAAGTGAATCTTTTATTGAATATTTATTTGCAGGAATTTACACCTGTCTTTCAAGAAATAAATAAAAGACGATTTGATTTAGTTAATGCAGAAATGTTATTTGATCTTCCAGTGACTGATTATGGAGATTTTCTTCTAGTGTGTAAGGAAATGGAAGGATTAGAAGAAATATACAAACTCTATAGGACCTTGAAAGTACATAATTTATTAAAAGAAATTTTGTTGGAATTATGAATTTAAATACTGGCAATTTTTAATTTGTACTATATTGACTTTGTTTAGACAGTTCGCAAAACATGGGGAAAAACACTATGGGTGAACTTAAATCCTCATTTGTTGATAAAAGAAATTGATCAATTTCTACATCAATTTCAATTACTTCCTGAAGATATTCAAAAACTTTCTACAGGTATAGCATTAGAAAAGAACATACAGCAATTGAAGTTTAGTATTCCTTTATTGGTAGAACTGAAGAATGAATGTCTTCGTAAAAGACATTGGAGTGAGTTGATGCAGAAATCAGGTATGAGATTCCCAGATATTTATAATGGATGTTTTCATAACTTTGCTGAATAAAAATCACCATTCTAGTTAATAATTATCATTTATTTCAAAACACTAGTCAAGTGATTGCTTGGACAATGAAGAAATTGACAACAAGGGTCTATTTTTCAATTCATTGTGGATAATGATATTGAGTTTTAGTTGTGAAAATTTGCATAATTCGTAATACTCACTATTGTTATTTCCATTATTTCATAAATTAGATATTGTTATTGTCATTGTCACAGTTTTTTGTACTATTGTTATTATTATTGCTATTATTTCAGGCCATGAATTCAATATGACAGTAGATGAATTTACTTTAGAAAATATGTTTGCTTTGAAGTTGCATCTCTGTGCTGATGTAGTTACTGAAATCATTAATCGTGCTACTAAAGAACTTGCTATTGAAATTGGAGTGGGAGAAATTGATGATAGGTGGAACAATGCTGACTTGAAAATATGCCTACATATAATTGAGGAAGATGAGAAAGGTTTCATTTTAGGATCTATGGAGGAGCTCATGCAGTTATTGGAAAACGACTCCATGAAACTTCAGATCATGGCTGAATCACAGTATGTCTCAACTAATGTGTTTCTAAGTCTGAATGCAATCTTTCCATTTGTTTTTGGAATCATTCAAGTCTTTGAAGGGATTTTTTAACCATGATAGTCAAGAGTAATTTTTATCCTAAAATTTGGTAACTTCCTTGCCATTATGTTTTTTCTACGTATTATTTTTACATAATTTATTCTTGTCAAAATAACGCTACAACTCTTTATTACAATCAGGATAAAAAATTCTATGGGAAAATCAAAATCGTAGTTAAAACACTGTAATTATAATCTCTCATGAAATGATTTTCTTACTCTTAAGTTAACATTTTTGGTTGTTGTTGAATGTTATTTTCTAATCAGTATTCTGAGTATTGATAATTGAAACATTAACTACAAAAATTGCCATATATTGTTTTTAATGCTATGAAGTGTCCAAGAAAGATGAAAAATACATTGTATTCACTTTTATAAAAAATATTTAGGTGCTTCAGAGCTTTTCAACCTAAAAGTATTTTCTTAGAGTATCTGAGTTCAAATAAATAATGAAATTAGTTTGCGCCGTATTATTTCAGAAAATGTAGCAGAATTTCAGAAAACATAAACTCTTCATCTTTTTATTCTTCTCTCTCATCTTACTGCCCCATACACATTAGATGCACTCTGAGTTGTGTACTCAAATGCATTGTCACTGGGCATTGACAGTGGGTCATTAATTCTTTGTTTTAAAAATCATTAAATTCCATTGAGCCATCTAGGAGGAATTAACCATCAAAAATCTTTATTTTCATTTTTGTATTTATGTTGAGAACATGCTCGAAAGTGGTTCTTTGATACGCAATAGAGTGTACAATGAATCCCAGTGGATTTGTTTCAAGCTACAGATTGATGAACTTGTCTGTTATCATATCATATTTCAAACTGAACTTGCATACATACTTCTTTGCTAATTGAGCTTGTGCAGAGAGATTTATAATCACACAGGGTCTCACAGTTGGGGGTTAATAACGAGGTCTTAATAATGTTAATGCCTCCAGAAAAATAGTATCACATAAAATTTATATCATTAACCAAAATCTTTTAATGTGAATATAAAAAGCATTAAGATATCATACATTTTTAGGTATGTTGGGCCATTTCTTAACACTGTTCAGTTATTAGAGAAGAGCTTATTTGTCATTACTGAAGTGTTAGATGAATGGCTTTGTGTTCAAAAGAAATGGTTGTGTTTGGAAAAAGTGTTTAGGAACGATGAAGTTTGCCGTCAACTACCCGAAGTAACTAAAGAATTTTATTCCATTGAGCAAACATTCATAAAGGTTAGTGTGCAGTCTTTCTGATTATCTGAAAATTATATTGATTCCTGATATTTTGAAAGTTTTATTATAATTAATATATAGCTTACAAGTAGTTTTTAATTATTATTAGCCTGCACCAGATTTTTCACAGATTTTCTAGTTAAACAACTCATTCATACACTACTTATGTAGGTGAGCTATGTTCACATTCAAGTTTATATCTGCATTTATCTGCCAAAATGTGTGTTGTTATGTGCAGTTGCTCCCTTTTTAATACATGAACTTACATTAGTGATCCAATAATATTGAATATTTTCTCCATCTTTATCTCAAATAATTTTAGTATACCTTTTTACAAGCTATAACATGTAATTAATTTATTTTTTCAATGTTGTTATATAGTGGATAGATAGATCATTTAGTGTAAAAGAAATAATGTGTACTTTCTCCTTATGCATATCTTGAAACAATAATTTCATCTTGTACCAAACATTTTCATTGCTTTATTGTTATCAGAATTTGTTATTGAAGATATACGAAATACTTGAAAAGTGTGTGTGGTTGTACTTATATTTTCGCTATTGTTTCAGATGATGAAACAGACATCCATAAGAAAAAATTTAATGTACTGTTGTCATTTACCTCATCGCCTTTCTGAACTGAAGTTGATTAATGATGGTTTAAATCAGTGTCAAAAATCATTGAATAATTTCCTTGATCTTAAACGAAGTACTTTCCCACATTTTTATTTTATTTCCAACAATGATTTGGTTAGTATTCTTGGCAGTAATGATCCAACATTCGTTCGTAAATTTGTGATCAAGGTAAATTACTTTTTCTATATTATATTTTTAGGAAAAAATTCAATTCTTCCAACTCTTAACAATTAAATAAAATTATTGAATAAAAATAATATGTGATGTATATATTTACTTTTGATTCATTTTATAAAGTAGGCTACTTAATTTTGTGGTATATACAACAGAATTGCCATCCTTGCATACACATGGGAAATATGCATTTTTTTTACAGATGTTTGACAGTATAACTGATTTAAGGTTTCATTTTCATGACAATGAAACAGTTAGAGTTGTTTCTGCTATAGTATCATATCAGGAAGAAATGTTTCTTCAGAAAGAATGTCCATTAGAGAATCGCATAGAAAAATGGATGTCAGTTGTTGTGCAGGAAAGTCAAAAAACAATTAGATTTCTTATAAAAAAAGCAATTTATGAGTATGGAAAACTAAGACAACCAAGGTGGGTAAAGATCTCTTAATGTGAGTTTAAATTATAAGCTATTATGGTTTCATTGGTTTAACAGTACATCAGTAACAGCATATCAGGCTGTTGTACCCAAGTTTGCAGGTTCAAACCTGATTGAAACCGTGGATTTTTTAGGGCAAAAAAGTATCCTTCATATGCCTACAGGAGGGTGAGTAAAGCCGGCTGTCTCATGTAGTAGATTGAAACAATCCTCAAGCCTAAAAGAAGCCTCTGAGCTAAATTCAAACCTGTTTCATCACCCAAGTGATTCCTTTTTTCTTAGCTAGATGATGAAAGAAACATAGCGAAATTCGCATGGTCAGACGGAAGAGCAGACCTGATGGCCAGAGTCTTGCCACGTAAAATAAGGCATGAACTGAGCTATTGAACAAAATTTTATTTGACATTATGGTGAACTCCAATAAAAGATTTCTGTGAGATTATCTCATTTCTCTCATTAGCATGTCTATTGTGAATTCATTATTTGATGTTACTCAAAATTCACTATCATAAATCAATTATTTAAGTTGAATTGTACTAGGAACTTCAAGAAGTGCTCACTACGGGCATGATTTTCATTTAACCGGATCTCTTGTTCGGAGGTTCCATTGTATTTCTTATAAGTAATAAATGATATTGAAACCGACACAGGTAGTAGTGAGCGTAAAGGCAGAATTGAATTCATAGGCTAATTGCTCTAATCAGTGATCACTTCCAGGTGAATACCAGAGAAACACCATATGCAATGAACCAGAAAATGTGTGACCTTTCCTGTTCCCATCCCTCCATCACCACAATCATTGTCATCTTCATCACCATCTTTCCCCCATGAACTCAGGTGCCATGGGGGAAAACGTCCCATCCTAATCCAATCTGGCATAATCAGCATTCACTGATAGGTAGGCCTTATGATCCCTGCAATTGCTAGGGACTAACATTAGAAAAAAGAAGAAAGAATGAATGGTGTGGGAATTATTTTCTTCTTTTGATTTATATTTCATTATATTTGTTCAAGTGTTTCTAATTACTGTTAGGCCTCCATATAACATGCTCCAATTATCAAAAATAATTTTGCAAGCCAAAAATAAATTTCACTTCTATAATATGCAACTTTATTTATTATTTGCTGAAGTGCCCTGTGTTACCCAGGTACAGTTGACTCCGGTTATAGTGAACTTATGTCACCGGTCCTGTTTCACCTACATTTCAAATAAGCATAAGGAGATTCGATTATAGTGAACCTGAACCTCGGCTATTGTGAATGCTGGAAATACAACATCCTGAAAATTAATTCTCACCTAGAAAAGAATATATCACTAGTGCCGCAAATTCCAAAACTAGGCAGCTTGCAAAAAATATCGTCAGCCAAAGGTCATAATCAAAGAAGTCTCCTATGAGCTGATAGTGGACCTGGAAGTCTCCCCTGAGGTGAAGGTAGTGGGGACCTTATAGTGAGGACCAAAGTATGCTCCAAATTTTTTCTTTAAATTTTCTCCTCATATGTATCAAAGTACGATGTGAAAGTGCTTGTCCCATTTTTGGTGAAGTCTATATTTTGTAAAATTATGAAATTGCAAAAATACTATTTTGAAAATAGAGATTTTTGTCTTAAATGAAACCTGTCCTAAAAAATATTTCTTTGAAAAAAGGTCACATACATTTTTTTGAAAAAGTGAGCGGTTTTTGTTTAATTTCTTTTTGAAGTTAATGCAAATTATAAAAAGAAAAAATATTCTAAAAAATCTATCGAAATTGTTTCTTCAAATTTTTTTCTATGGATAGAACAAGGAATGCTTAAAAGAATGAAACAGGACTCATTTGTGTTAAATCCTCAGAATTTTTGAAAATTGCAAATGCAAGAAAACTTTTGTAGCTTCACCATAATTTGTGAATTGTTTATGTAGAGTAGATAGTATATTAAAAAAAGAATGTGTTACAGAGCTCAAAGTTTCCCCCTCCCATTTCATTATGTAAGGTAATATTTTAAACGATTCATTATATGGATGTGTCCTCTATAGGATTGAATGGATATTGGGATTTCAAGGCACAATTTGCTTGGCTGCTAGCCAAGTGTGGTGGACAGCTGAAGTAGAAAATGCATTTAACTTGATGAACCAGGTATGTTCAATGTGCAAAGATCATCTGAAGTGGAGTCACAAAGTAGGGTAACAGTCAATTTTAAAATCATAAATATTAAAAAATATTTTTAAGGAAAGTCTTATATAGTAATGCAGAGTGTTATAGGTTGAGATAATACAAGGAATATGGTGGGAGATTAAGGAAGAGAAAAAGGCAAGATGTACTAGAAAGTGGAAAGGGTGGATGTGGAGATTCAGATAATTTAGTCTTTGGTTATTGAGAGGGGTGAGTCACTGTCAGTAACAATGATTTTGTTTAAATGTCCACAGCTAATAATACAATACATTAATGACAATAAAGTTCAATTCACATTACCATTGTCTCAAAGTCTTGAGGAAAAGGAAGATAAATAGTGTGAGTTTGAAGAAATAGCAAAGAGCTGTAACTTCAAAAAATAGTAGGAATAGAGCTAGTTTTGAAGGATTACATAAGATGTGGTAATGATTACTTTAGAAAACTTTTAATCAACTTTCAATGGAAATATTCTTTGAAAAATTAATTTTATAATTTAAATAATTGAGGTGGACAAATTTTTGTAAAAATTCTGAGAAACTTGAAATCTTGCGATAATGTCAAAAATTTAAGTTTGACAAAAATATATCTATAAAATAAAATAAAAATTCATAGTATGCTGTGCCAGTCCGGATGGCAGAGATCGCTAAGGCAGGAGTGTCGTAGCGATCTTGGACCGAACGTTTGCGTGTTCGAGTCCCGCCTTGGGCATGATTGTATTGTGTTCATCCTTTCACCCCCTATCATAACATTGTGTCATCTTCATAGTTACCATACCGTTACTTGCAATAGTGGTCGCTAATGGCCTAGAAGTTGATAAGACATTGAATAAAATTTTTTAAAAATATAAAAAAAAAAAACAACAACAACAACTATATTAAAATGGGAAATAAGAGTAAGGTCAATTTGTACCATTTTACAGACTGTTAGTCTGTTGCTAGAAATGCCATGTGAGATTTTTTTTTTTGATTTCCTATGAAGTCTTAATAATCCACTGAAATGAATAGCTAAAATGTTGTTAAATATAACAATGACTCACAGAACATAAAAAGGCTGAAGGTGGCTGAAGGTAGAATGCTTTTGCTTTTCAACACCAATCCTCCTGTTTGAAATCTAATGACTTTTTAAAATGATTTGATTTCTCCAGAAAAACTGTGCCAGAGTAAAAACATTTGGAATTTTTTGAGAATTATATTAGAATGAATTGTAATATTTTGAAATTTTTAGCGATATGCTTCCCATGCTCTGTTATCTGTTAAAATAAAGCATTTTTTAAAAATAGTTTTCTTTTGAAAGGGTAAAAATTCTGCAATGATGGAATACCTTGAAGTGCTTAACAGACAAATGAACGAACTTGTGATTTACCTCAAATCACAGCTGAATGAAACAGATCGAACAAAGTTAAACATGGTATTTATTACTGATATTCATGCAAGAGATATCATTGAAATTTTTATTAGAGACAGGTGAGATATTATTGTTCTGATTAAGTTTGTTATAGAAATATTATTGCCGCCCTTTCTCTGTACCTCTTTCCTACCCCTTTTCATGAACTGATTCTCTTTGCTTCATCTCCCTCTTCTCTTATTGTCTTTTCCTCTCTCCCTCTCCCTATATTGTTTTGCTGTCTTTCCTATTGCTAATTTTATTCTAATTTTTGAATTGTATTAAATACCCAATTGTATATTAGGTTATGATAGGCAGTAACATGTACTGTTTTAAATTATCATACATGGCTTGAGTTTTATTATGTGACATATTATTATAAATGAAGAATGATTGTTGGGTGATGGACATTATTTCTTCAAGGCAAATGTAAATATGGATGAGTTAGAAGAGGTTATACTTTACTTACTTGTTATGTTATCAAATGCACTTTCTATTATTTTCAGTGTCACTTATCCCAAAGAATTCCACTGGGAAAGTCAATTGCGCTATTACTGGATGAGAGATGAAGATCATTTATATGTGAAGCAGTGCACAGGCACATTTCAATATGGATATGAATATATAAGATTAAATAGAAAGATTGTGATTACACCTTTGACAAACCGTGTGTACCTTACCTTCACTCAAGCTCTGTCATTGCATTTAGGAGGTGCTGCAACAGGTATTTACTCTTAAAATGGTATAATGATTATGTTTTAGCTTTTTACATTGGAAATCAGTGTCACTTAATTTTTGTGTTTTGATTTTCTTTTGTGGCAGGAATTTTTATTTTTACTTTCTTGCCCTTACTTTGTAATAAGAGAAAGCATTGTAATTGTGTGCCAGAAAATAGCGAATTTTCAACAGAAAAGTTGTTATTGTCTGGTCCTGGTAGCGAAGTGGATAAATTTTGTTCCTATATATAGTAAATTATTTCCTCTAACACATTGTGTAATCAGAATTCATGATTTGTAGGTCCTTGATACCGAAAAAGTGATTGACTGCAAAACATCTGCCTGTCCATAGTCAATGGTAGCGACAAAACCGTTCAGCTACCTTTCTCCAAATTCGATATTCCTTGACTGATTTAAGTGAACTCATGGCCTTGCAAATGTGAACAGATATTTGAATTTTGTTGGTGGGACTTTACATAACGCCTCAATTACATTTTCAAAAATGTCTAAAAAATTACTCTATATTTTTTTATTAAACTTGTTCTCGATGAGTGTGAAAGATGCTTACAAGAATGAAACATGTCTCGTATTTGTGGATATCCCTCATTTTGTGAATATTGCAAAAGATACAACTTTTTTCGGTGTCTTTCTACTACAGTATTGAATATAGAAATTATTTTCTTTAATAATACATGTTGCTGTGAGTCAAATCTTGAAATAACGTTATGAACACTGGTTTAAAAATATGAATAGTTTCTCTGTAATTTTGCATGAAATTTAGATATATTTTAAACAATTATTTCCTCAAAAACATTTCCAAATTTTTTCTTTAAATTTTCTTCTCATATATGTCAAAGGTGGTAAAAAAAGGGTTCTTCCAATATCTGGTAAATTCTCTCTCTCTCTTTTTGGCAAAAGTACAATATTGAAGTTAGAGATTTTTGCCTTGAATGAAATCTGTTTCAAAAGATTGGATCTTTAAAAAAGATGATTTAGAAATTTTATTAAAAAAATGAAAATTTTTTGCATAATATCTGCTTAAAAAATGTATGCAATTTATGGAAAAATAATTTGCACACACACAGACACACACACACAAATTAATACAAAAAATTAATTTATGTTTTGTTATTCCATATCTCATGATTTGTTTTGAATTGCAGATGCACAATTATATTGTTTTAAAAATAATGATGTATGTCTTTTACTTACTACAAAGACAAAATAACAGTCCTAATTAGCAAACTTCAATAAAAAAGAAAATGTAATTTAGCTTTTAATTATTAAAAATTAATTAAAATTGGTTTGATAAATTTGTTAATTGTCATTATTTTACTGTAGACAATGTAATTATTTACCTGTTCTTGAAAAAAATGTTCTGAATTTTATTGATTTGATTGATCTTTCAGCATTTGAGATTTTCTGACATTAAGATTTATAGTTTCAAAGGAAAATCTCTATTTAGTATTTTCTTATTTTCATGGTTAGCATCACTAGAATTTTCAACTCAAACCTTCTCATTGTGGTAATAGGGACAGTGTACCCCCCCCTCCCCCCCCAAAGTCTTGTTATGGTGTTCTGTTATAGATCCCACAAATCTGAATATCATTTCTGCAGACAGTTCTTCATTTTGTATTTTATGTGTCTCTAACTCTACCAGGATTTCTCTTGTTTACTCATTCTTTGCATCATTACTTTGATAGAGCAGTGACTTCCAAATTGACTTGTGAAACCTTTGGATTCGTAAATCTCAGGATCAGAAATTCTTCATACAATTTTTTTTTTTAAAACAGACGCAATATTTAATTATTTTTAAAGCTTGTATACACTCAAATGTAACATAGTGTATCATGGCATAGACAATACATTAGTGTAAACTACAACTACAACTACACTAGTGCACGCCTTTCTCATAACTTTTATGAGGTGGGAGATATTTGACGTAAATAAATAAATAAATAAATAAATAAATAAATAAATAAATATATATATATATATATATATATATATATATATATATATATATATATATAACTATTTAAATAAATAGCATAATGATTATACAAGTCAGAATTTTAGAAGAAAATAAACATGAAATAAAGTAATAAGTAATAAAGTATGTATACATAATTCAAATCTCAGTTGTTTGATAGAAAACATCTGGCAAACATGTCGTGATTTTTCAAACATGGCTCAGTCTTACTCTTCTCACTTCAGCTTGTGCTCTTTCTTGATTAAGAGAAGAAAAAGAGAGCAAAATCAGGGGAAGTTGTCCACACTCGTAGGGGTTCCACGCTTCCCCAGCATGTGGGTACAGTTTGACATGCCTGCTTTAAGGTTTCATAGGCCTAAAAGGTCTGATTGAAGATTCCAGAATTTCAGAAACTGTTGGAATAGGAAATACCATTTTTAATTATCTATTTAAATATATTCACTTTTAGGTCCTACAGGCACGGGCAAAACAGAAACAATCAAAGAGTTGGCAAAAGCACTGGGAATGCTGTGCAAAGTCTTCAACTGCAGTAATTGCATGGAGAACAGAACAATGACTAGAATTCTGTCAGGGCTTGTTCAGTGTGGTGCATGGGGATGCTTTGCTGGTTTCAATTACATCAGTGTCTCAGAATTATCAGTAATCTCTACACAACTTCAGTCAATTCGGAATGCTTTAATGTTTAAAGCAGATCAATTTATGGTAAGCATATCATGCTAACAAAATTATTATTGTTAGTCATATAGTAGTGTTGTTTTTTAAAAATCTTTATAAAAACTGTTTATATGTTAATGAAACTATGTAGATTTGTGTTTTCATGGTGCATTAATGAAAAATTAAAATCATAAGCAATTTGTAGGATGAAAAATACCTTTCTGTTGAAATATTTTTAAATTTAGTTCACATTTCTTTTGTATTGATGATAACTGTAATAAGATAAAGTGATTCTTCTATATCAATAGAGTTATTCTAGTCTGTTTCAAATCTTGTACTTATTTGTGTTTGGAGATTTATTCCTCATTTATTAATGTTCAAGCAGTTAAAAGCTTATTTATATTTTCATAACTGCCTAAATTCTCAGGAAGATGTTCAAGCTTATAATTTTAAAAATTGAATGGAAGCGCTTGTAGTGAAATTTGTAGTGATGGATTTTTATTATGTTATAGCTTGGAAATGCTGACCTTGTGTTGAATCGTAAAGTTGGAATTTTTATCACTATAAATCCAATCCATTCAGATTGTAATGAATTGCTCGAATCAGTAAAAGTTCACTTCCGACCAGTGGTAATGGCTTCTCCTAACATGGAGCTCATTTGTCAAGTGAATTTAATCTGTGAAGGATATAGTAAAGCAAAGGTAAGTATAAAAAATAATGTTTTTTAATGTCATAATCTTGTCCTTTAGTTCCTTTTTATTTTTACAATTCTCTCTTTTTGTAAGTTACAAAAGAAAATTACTACATCTTCTTGTAGTGGATAGCAATTTTACCCAAGACAAATTTGTCTAAATCTGAAGTTCAGAACCAGAGACGATATGATGGTCCAGAGAATTATTTTTTTTGGCAATCTGGGGGGATCTTAAAGTTAGGTCTTCAACAGGTTACACCTAACTTTGTGAGAAAAAACTTTATTGAGACATCATTAATGAACTTAAAAATTTAAAATATTGGTCAAGAGGATTTGATGCATTGACCAACTGTCAATTCTTAACCCTTATTAGGTACATATGGCTCTAGTAGCCCAATTATGTTTTCATAATTCAATATCTCATTCAGTTGTTAGTGTAGACTTCTGACTCAACACCAACGTATATGCACATATAATATATGCACATGCACGTTTAATATACGTACTACATATTATAGTGACTACTTAGTTGTGGGCTCAGTGTGATGTACCCCTACATTAATCATTATATCTTTATATTCTTTCAAATGTTCTTAAATGTAAGTTCACAATGATTCTGTCGCTAGTTTCATTGTAATATTGGTACTTTGTAGATTCTCGCCAAGAAAATAACAGTATTGTACAAATTAGCTAGAGAACAATTATCTCAACAACTTCATTATGACTTCGGCTTGCGAGCACTTACATCTTTCTTAGCTAACACTAGGGATCTCAAACGATGTTACCCTGAGAAAGAAGAAGAAGTCTTGCTTACACAAACTCTCATGTGAGTATATTTTCTATTTCCTGTCAGGTGAAAATGATTAGGTAGTTTGTCATAGTGAGGTTAATAGAACAAGGAGGAATTCAGAATTGAGAAGATAAGGTAAGATTTTACCTAAATTGAGTAAAAATCAGTGCCACTGATTTACAAAATGAATTAAGAATATCAATGTTATAACAACAATGACGACAACCAAACTACCTCTCTGTAAATATCCTAAAGTTACTTACCTAATCTATTTGTACCAAACTAATTACAATTTATTTCTAAAACAATGGATATTATGAGTCAATGCAAATGCTAGAAAGGAAAAGAGATCTTATGTTTTTTTAGTTCACACTGTATTTATGAATAATTTAATTTCCTGGTCTGATCTGATTCTGATCTCAAAATTATCAATCCCAGTTCATTGTAAAATATTTGTATACTTAGGGAGATAACAGTTCCTCAATTAGTATCAGAAGATGTATCTGCGTTCCTTCGAATGATTGGAGATGTATTTCTTGAGCTGAATGAACTAGACTTATTTCATGCAACTAATGTTCAGTTGATGGAAGCAGTGGAACAAGCATTGGTTGACAAGCATTATCAGGTACTACCTATGCAGGTAATTATCACACTTTCATTTATGTTAAGTATTAGAACTGAGATGAACAAATATGCATTCTTGCCTAGATACTGCACTGTCATTATATAATGTCATGAAAATGTAGTAATTATTTTGCTTGTTCAGTTATTCATATCTAATTGCAGGTTAACAAAATCATGCAACTTAATGACATTATTAAAGTAAGACACTCTACAATGGTCATAGGGCCTACTGGAAGTGGAAAATCTGTCACTATAAAAATATTGTCCACAGTACAAACTAAAATGGGATTTCCCACCAAATTGTTTCAGTTGAACCCAAAGGTAAATGTGAAATATGAGATATAAACAAGAAAACATGCATGAAAGAATGAGCATATTACATTTTTTTATTAAATTTTTGTGTTGAATCACAGGACAGTAGCAGCTGTGTGAAGGTCATCTTTTTCCAGTTTTTATTCTTTTCTTTCTTCGTATGGTCTCTGTTAAGTGGACCAAAATGAAGCACCCATTGGAATATTTTTAGATCTATTGAAAGCTTTTGACGTTATTGACCGTAAGATCTTGCTATCAAAATTACCTTCTTATGGAATTTGCGGTATCGCTCGAAATTGGATAACCTCGTACCTTAAACATCGATCTCAAAGAGTAGAAATACCATATTGGCACGAAATGACATTATTTATTTATCTATCCAATTCTTTACCACTTAAATATGGGATCCCACAAGGGACGATCTTAGGTCCTGTCCTCTTTCTGTTATATGTAAACGATATGCCGTTGTCTACTAAAAACTGAAGAACGGAAGTTTTGTTTGCCAATGACACGAATGTTCTTTGCAAAAAAGAAACAATAAATAGTATGATTTTAGAAGTTTCAAATTGGTTTTGTAATAACAAATTAATAGTTAACAAAGGAAAAACAGGTTCAATGCGTTTTTGCATTTCAAATCAGTGATCGCATGCTCTATTAAAAATGAACAATATGCAATTAGCTCATGTTCAGGTAACAAAATTTCTAGATCTCTCAATTCAGTCAAACCTCAAATGGAATGTACATATAACAAAATTAAACACTAAATTTAGTTCATTATGTTACGCATTCAGGATTCTTTCAAATTCTGTCAGGCTTCATGCAGTTTGTTGCATGTATTTTGCAAATGTACATTCCTGCCTGAGAATGTCGTAAAAATCACGTTCATCAACTGTCAGTATCAACAGCTCACTATCAGAAATCCACAGGCAATACATGTACGTTACTTTACACATTGCCAGATGACATTAAACAATTGAAGTCGGTTCACAAATTTAAGTTAAAAGTAAAATCTTTTCTGTTGCATAACTGTTTCAATACAATTAGAGACTATACTGATTATCAAAAAGAAAATAATGTTTATTTCAACAAAATGATATATGTATATTGAATTAGTTTAATTTTTATTGTATAAATTTTTTAAAAAGACTTAATATGTTTGTAACAAATAATGTACTTCAGCTTCCGGTTTAATGACTCGCATCTTGATCAGGTTTATGTCCAGTTTCCCTGATCCATTGAGCAAATGCTTAGGTGGCCCCTTGTTTTGCTTCTGGACGTACATATAGCTTCACTATGCACATGTTTTGTTGAACTCTCCTTTTGCTTGTAATGGTTGGAGTAGATATAAGGGCAAGTTACTATTTTGTTAGCAATGCAGAAAAATCACACATGCAAAATCGTTTACCGCTGCAAATAAGTTTTCTATAACTCTAGAACGAAAATGTCAATTTTTTCAAATATTGCTTATCTTTAAATCACGCTTTTTTAAAATTTATTTTTATTTACTGATTTTAAACTTTTACTCATCTTTAAACTATTTATAGTTAACATGACGGCAAGGGATTCTGTAACTCAAGAAAACATGCGCAGATGATCTTCTCCCCCATACACCACATACAGTTTTTACTGTTTTTTTCACTAAATAAATCTAAATCTAAATTGGCCTGCTTGGGCAATCTGCCTGTGGGTGTCAGTTCTGCTTAGAGACTTTTTGTTTATATTCTATAGTACCGATCCTAAAATCTTTTCCTTTTTCTTCATTTCTGGTTTTGCCGCCACCCGGAAGCTGTTTAGTTACAGCGTATTTCCAGGGAGGAGAATTTTTTATGGAGTACTGTTGTGGCTGCTTGAAGTTTATTATGTGTTGACAGGGAGAAGGGATTGTGATGAGCAAAATTTCTATGAGTTCGAATAATATTTACTTACAGCATTATTTAGGTAGAGACAACTAATGGTTATCTAATGGGGAAGACTGCATATGCATTGCATTTCTATACATAATTTCTTCCGATACAAGCCAAAGGGTATAGCGCTCCTACAGCATATTGAGGAAACTAGTTGGTGCCCAAATCTACTCGCTGAGCTGCATAGTTATACTATCTGGTAAGCAAGCCCTTCTTCAGACCCTACTCCCCACCCTTGAAGACAGCCTTCGTCCGCCGGTAAAGCCTTTGCAGTGAATGCAAGACGTCACGCCTCTCGTTTTACACAGGTCTTATGGCAGAATGAAGTGGCAGCCTAACGCTTTTCTCTTCCTTGTCAACAGCTTCAAGTACGTTACGGACGGCCGTTATCGAACTGACAGAGGAAAATTTTGAAATTATTGTTGTATAATATAACTCGGAAATCCATTATTAATAAATAAATGCGTTTATAAATAGATTTTTAAATTTGTTTTTGGGGACGATTTCTATTGGAGAGGCTTCGACTTTACCAGAGCGACAGAGGGGGAGGAGAGATATGAGAAACAAGCTAAGAAGACGAGGTAGGGAATCGAGTTACCGACAATGGCTTCTGCTTACCACATCGCTCCATTCCTCCATTGCTTCCTCTGTAACGGCGGCAAAGTGCGGACTTGTCACTGACGTCATTTTCTTCAGTGGCTCCACTCTTCGTCGTAGTCTGCGTGGGCCTCCGGCGTGACTCTCGCTGGACGTGCCCCCCCCTTCTACATCTTCAATATATTTATATATATATATATATATATATATATATATATATATATATATATATTATAATATATATATATATATAATATATATATATTATATATATATTGTCAAAGTAATTGTAGAACGTTTTCTGGAAGGTCCTTTAGAAAGGGAATTTCGTGGACTGTATCACCATATTTTCAATCCCGTAACTTGGAGGTTTTCTGTTCATTAGAGCTTGGGGCCATATGCCGATGAAATATTTTATGATAGGATATAGAATATAACTATTTTAATGATGGTCCATCACATGCAGCTCTTGACATAACACAGGAACTGCTTTTATTCTGGATTCATTCTCTTGTCTTCTATGGAATTAGAAACTCAATTTGCACACCCATTTAGGAGAGTAGGTATTTGTACTGATTTGTATCTTGAAAATGAATTATTTTCCAAGTTCTCTTTTCAAGCATTATTTTAATGGTGTCACAGATATAATATAATGTTTGATGGTTTTTAATACGATGTGTAGTGTTTTTATTATGTATCTGTGCGTATGTTTTATAATCACTATTTAACACTATCTGGTGTTTGATTCCAATTTGTTGAACACTTCCAATCAAACATTTCTGATTTTTGGTTTTAACTCGTCTTCAAAGTAATTGTATTGTGCATACGTCAGTTTTTTTTTAATTTGTTGCATCTTCAATTGACGCAACGCGTCTCCAAGTCCCGGGGGCGTTGAGCGTAATCCTCCATTAATACTTCAATATGTCATATCTGTCACGTCTCGTCGCAGTCAGTTGTCAAGAGGACCGCCACGTAGCATCTTCGCGTACGCGCCTCCTACTACTACCTCTGCGTCACTACTTAGTGGCCAGAATTGGGAAGGAATTAGGATTGGGGTAGAGTTTAGGACACTTCACAAGGGGTTGGACTAACTCCTGTAAAGCTTTCAAACTCTTTTGTTGTAAAAGAAATGCACATAAGGTTCTACGGGGATTCTAACCCGGGACCTCAGAGGTGAAAAAGCAAGTGACTTCGCCACTGAACCACGAGAGCAGCTTTAATTTCACTAACAGCAACACTTCCTTCTTGCTGTTGTCTCATTAGTTGCTTGTGACTATCTCCCAGGGAAAACAACTACCGAGAGAAATGGATAACAATTCTGCCTAATAATTTCATATCCGACCAACCAATAGCAACAAAATTTCTCTCATTAACGACTTCTGGTGATTAACTACTGATCGATGACAATATCTTAAATTTCATTAAGTGTGACTTGTGACTATCTGACGCAACGCCTCACTTTATAACAATTCATCTTTTCTATTAGAAACATTTTGCCGTGGTTTTCCGTTGAAATACCTTCCTTGGTATAATTCTTTGTTTAATTGTTATCTAATGTTAGAATATGTGAGAATAACTATCGAAAGGCAATGAGAATTGATATTTTGATATGAGCATTCAGGGGGGGGGGGGTCATGGTTCTATAGTTCATTGTTCCATGATTCCATGGCTGTCCTCTACAGACAAAATATTGTCAGAATTGAGGGAGTAGCGGCAACGTGAAAAGACCGTTGAATTTCTCATGCCTTTGAATTTGTCCATTAAATTTCTCGCTGGAACTCAGCCGTCCGCTGAGAACCGGGAGCAATTGGCCTTGGCTCCAGGCAACGAAAACGTGATGAGCCGTGCTCCATAGGGTCATGGAATGTTAGATGCCTTACTAACAAAGAATATGAATATCTGAAGATGATTGATTAGTATTTCTGGGCGCTTCAACTGATAAAAAAGCATTAGTCCCAAAAGATTTACCCCCGCGGGATGACGAGGTCTGGCACCGACCTACGTTAACTTGCAGGGTTTTCCTCAACCAGGCATCTCTCACCAGCGGGGCACCGCCCCAGCCAGGACAAGCTCCCGACGTGTGGTGCTGTAATGGAGACAAGGATACGTGTGCCCGTTCATTAGGTTACTGTTCCGGCATTCACATGGTCATGGTCGGGGAAACAACGGAAATCTACCGTCCAAAGCAGCCGACTGCTAGAATTATCCCGACTGGCTGAATTCGACCTAGCTCCCTAGCGAGTGTCGAAACCGACGGGACTCGAACCCTAGGACCTCCCGGTCAAAGGAACTACAGTGAAATCAATTGATGAGCCACCTAAGCCCGTGGGAAGGCGATGAAAAATAAGAAACCGAACAACGTGATGATAATGAAAACATGAAATAAATTAAGAATTAGCAAAAGTATGAAGGCCAATATACATCATATTAAAAGAGGACCATCCGAAATTACTTTAAACTGAAGATATGGTAGATTGCTAAAAACACGAAATGTTACTAAACGCTGAAAAAAATAGTGATTGAATGTTTGACGATTGGTACAATATATTTCTGAAGGTTTTCAGTCTTCCCTACGTCTATGGCACACGCGCTACTTCTTGCGATTTTATTTTATTGAAGTTCACAAATGGCGAAATATTAAATTTGTTTCCCTTATTTCAGTGATTTTAATGGGAAAATCTAAAACATTCTTTTTAATATCAGAAAGTCATCCCTTAATACTTTTCCCAACAAATGCCGCAAAATTCTAATTCTTAATTTTTATACTGATATAAAATGCTATAGCTTTGTTTTCAAGATACGATTTTTTAAAATTTAAAGTGCCAAATTCTACCACACTAATTATCGGTATAACTGGCATCTTGAATCCTTATTCCTCCTACTTGACGCAACCCGCTTGATGTTTATGCATTTTGCGCTCCGTGTTGCATCGACCCCTGCATTTGTGATGCCACGTTAATGAGGCACCGACCAGAAACAGAAAAGGAAGCAGGAGAAGAAACGGAAGGGGAATAAAATGAAGGAAAATAAGCCCGAGAAAGAAGAAAAAATAAGAAAGTGTGAGAAGAATACATCAGAAGAAGATTAAGGGCTAGAAAGAGAAGAAGACGACAAAGGAAGAGAAGACATGAGGAAATGATTGAGACGAAAAAATAATAGAAAAATGAGGAAGAAGAAAGAAAAAGAGAAAGTGTAGAAGAAGAAGAAATACTACAAGGGAAATAATAAGGAATAAAGGAAGAGGAGAAGTATGGGAAAACATTTTTTTTTTATATTTATGCGTATCCCATCTCTCATTACATCTTAAATAATTCATCTAAATATTTGTCATGCAAATACCCAGAAAAGATTTTTCTGTGGTAGCACCTTTAGAAGTGTGTGGAAGAAAATACAATATTTTGTGCGTTTTTTAAAAATTAATTGCATTTCAATGGGCTAAAAGTCCAAAGTTTCTACCAAAATTTAACTAATTGATTTTATTCGATAATGGAATATTAACATTGTATTTCTCTCTGGTACCAAGTCTTACAACTTTTTATGGTATGAGGAAAAATAAAATATTAACAAACATGTTTTTTATAAATTAGAGGGGGGAGATGGTGTGTCTGAAAAGTAGTGAATTGTAGTTGTTGGTTTTTTTTTTCTTTTTTTTTTCAAACATTCCCTACACAATTGCTTGAAACATTGAAGGGCTATTTTACATTCTTATTATTTTTGTCACTATCCAGTTTATTGCAACTTTACTTCTCATTAAGAAAGCTCCTCAAAATGTGAATACTGAGCTAAAATAAGGACAAATGTGACAGAATGGGTGGAAGACCTTCAGGTGCAGAGAAGCAAATTATTTTAGAGCAAAATAGTTGTAACTAGAAAAAAATGGAGGCTGGAGATAGTGGGGATAACAAATCCAGTCACTGACAATCCCGCAAGGCACTCATAATGTGACACTTTTCTTACTAAAAATCAAAGTTGAATTACAGAATTAACTATAATAATTTATTTTATGTAATAGTACTTCCGTAATTTACTAACAAGCTGTTGAGGCAACAAAAAATTACCAAATAGTGATTAAGCTTTTAGTAATTATGTATCACTTTTTAAAATGTTTCAAAGTATTTATGATGTGTTTATTTGATGTTTTATGGATTGCATTGTGGCCTATAAATGTTGTAATGCTTAATGGTAGCATTTCCTTTTCCTTTTTACCAACTATTCTTAAATTATGCCAACAAAAATGTAGACTATGTATTTAGAGAATTACAAGGGAGATTTATTTCAGAGTAACTTAAATGGAACATGGTAATCTCATGTACATTATCTGTTTTTGTAAATTCATGAAAACACTAACTTTTAGGTTAATGTCATGTTATGGAAAGAGTACAGAAAAAATACGAATCTATAAGTTAGACCAAAATCCTGATCAGGTACTATCTTCAATCAACCAATTCCGTGAGTTAAGTTGCCCATGCCACTGCCATTGTTATTATCACCATTCCTACCTTTTTGTCATCACTTTGGTCTCCAACCACTGCTCTTTGACGCCATCACTCTCTTAGAGCAGTGAAATATGTCTTTCATGTTTCAGGCATATTCCATTAGTGAACTATTTGGAGTGTGGAATCCCAACACCTATGAATGGTCAGATGGATTGTTCTCATCAATATTTCGCAATATCAACCAGTCTTCTGAGAAGAAAGGATTATGTTTTATAGTCTTTGATGGTGATGTAGATGCCTTGTGGACTGAAACTTTGAATTCAGTTATGGATGACAATAAACTGCTCACATTAGTTAATGGTGATCACATTACATTGCAGCATCACTGTGGTTTACTCTTTGAGGTGAATTTCTTAATTTAATTTGTGATTATACTATTATGCTCATTTATAATGCTCAACATAATGAATATATTAAAATTGAATATAGAAATATTAATTTATTGGATGTAAGATAAGAAATGGTGTTTCAAAAACATTAAATTAAAAGGTATGGAATTATTAAAAAATATGTATGTTCAAGAACATGAAGTATATGATTGTATTCATTAAGAAAGAAATATGATATTTGTCATGCAAATCTTTTAATTATTCTTCTTGCACTAAGTTTTATTGTTAATGAAAAAATGGATTCAAGGGGTTGAAATTAATTATTTTGTTTTGATATAGGCAAAAGCATATTTGCACACGCTATATATTATCAGTTGTCAAATCACATTTAACAGTTGTCAAAAGGTAAATGGATCAAAATAAATTAATGAAATTACAATTTGCCTTTCAACACATTTTCCACAGCAGTGCATAAAAATAGGAGTTAGTGCTAAGAGAACAAGTGGTAAGCAATAAACATATTACAATTTGCATCAATATTTTACATCATATTACAATTTTGTTGCCGTTTCTGTTAGCTCCAAGTCCGCCCTTATTTCTATGCCTGGCGTTAAAGTTACCCAAAAGGATGACTTTAATATGTAATCCGAAAAGCGCATTAATTTCAGCCAGAGCAATAGCAAGGATTTCGCCTTCGAGCTGCAGCAGTTCGCGGCGCAGCGCGATCGCTCTCCTACCACTTGGTCTGCCTACGCGGTCTCGGCGGTAAACAGCGAATCCCCGGAGTTTGAACTCTTGTTAATCACTGAGCCACGATTTTTGTAAAGCCAAGATATCCAGTTGAAGTTTAACTGAGAACCGTTCTAATTGCTGGGCACTTCATATTGCCTTTCGCGCGTTCCGTGCAGACGCGGAGAGGTGCTGTTCGCATAGCTACGCAATTATTTCAGTTAGGCATGATCGGGAAATGCTTTGTAAATACGCTCTTCCGTCACCAAAACTGACTGGTGGGTGCAGTGGGCCACGCTCCGGCCGCCCCGGAAGGCGTTGCGCGGACCGTGCAGAGCCGGGATGTTGCACGACCGCGTACCAGATCGGCCTGCCGCTGTCAACCGAGGCGCCTCGCTCCTGCTAAGAACATTTTGGCGAGTGTGTCTCTCGGCCTCTGTTGCACGCGCGTCTGAAGGACGCATGGGCAACTTGCAAAATCTGCACCCTGTGAAGGATGCAGTATGGTTTTGTTTGCAATTGCAGCAAAAAGGATCAAGAATGAAGTTGCCTCTTTTCGGGCAATGCGCTAATCCTTTCTCATCGGCCTCTGCTGAGTGACTCTCGCCCAGCTGAAATGGTGGCAGCTCACATCGCACTCGCGATGTGTGCGATGTGGCCCCAACGGCATCATTGCAGGCAAAATCGAGGTCTTGTCCACTTTTTGCCTTGAACCTCTATTGTGAAAGATTATGCTTGAATTGGTAGACCTTTCGCGACTCGGCGGTGTCACGGAATGTGACAGCAAGTTTTGGTGCCTGATGCACCTTCGGCAACACCAGAATCGACATTTCTGGTGACCACGGATTCTTTCAGCAAAATATTTGCCTGACTCCATGAAGATCGTAGCCTTGCTCTCTCAGCATAATGAGTACAGCTTCCTCGGTATAGTTCGATATAGCCAAGACCTCGAACAAATATTCGTAGAAAATGTTCGGAGTTCACGTCCGGAGACCGATGGGCGAGGGGAAGAATCTTCGCTCAGCCAGTGTAGAGCTCCGTCTTTTTGTAAGCATACAATCAAAAGTGCATATTGCGTACACAGCCCGTTTCCTACGGCTGGTGACCTTTGAGGTGGTCGCCTTGTACTCTGTTAGGGGCCCAAGTTCCCTGCCATGCCTTAGAACCTAGTCGGGTCTAATCCTAAGCCGTATAGAATACCAGCCGTGAGGCGGTAGGCCGTTAGGGGGCCGTGAGGCGGCCGGCGGATATGAATCGTTCAATTGTGGGGCGAATCGTACGCGGAAGATCCTACCTCTGTATTCTCGCCTGCCGACCAACTGCATGGAGTTTATTTGTATTTGTATGTGTTATTTTCCCCACTCCAATAACTCTGGAGAGGTGGAAATTTATTCTGTTAAAGGGAGTACATTTGAGCTGCAGCTGATTAAGCTTATGCAGCTGGTTGAGGGCTTATCTTAAAAATGCTAATTAAAAAAACCCTCTTATATACTAAGTATAACTATTTACAATTCCTCTTTGGGCCTGAGAGTTATACATAGAGCTTTTTAAATATCTTGTAATTAAAGTTCTTAAGTTCTTGGTTTGATCTGTCTTCTTGTTTGTTTACACATTCACTCTCATTTATTCTTAATCTATATTTACAAACGCATTCATACTCTCAATCATACAGCAGTCCACTTCACTGTATACATCATTTACCATCACTTTATTCGCCACGGCGCCGACTTCACTCAAACGTCTATGGCGCCGCGACGTCCTCATTGCCAGGCGACCCCGGCCCGGTGGGGCGTTTCAGCGCCTCCCGCGCGGTTTCCGCGGAGATCTCTCATCACCCCCCCCCCACACCCCCAGTAACCCTGGAGAGGCGGGAGTTTATTCATCTATAGGGGCTACAGCAAATAGCTTCGGCCGATTGGGCTTCTGAAGCATAGGGAGCGCATGTATCTTAAATAGACTAGCTAAAATTATCTTATATTCTAATTTAGACTAATTACAATTGTCACTTTGGGACTTGGTTTAGTTGGTACAGTGTTTTGTTAATTGTTTTAAAAGTTCGTTGTTCTTGATTTCTTTTTTAGTCTTCCTTTTTGTTTTTGCATTCACACTCTCATTCATTCTTAAACCATATTTACTATATTTACTACACATTTACTCATTCATGCACGCAACACTTCACTGCGCTATTTACACTTAAATATTCGCCACTGTGCCGACTTTACTGAAGCGTCCATGGCGCCGCGACGTTTTCGTCTTCGGGCGGCCCCGGTCCGGCGAGACGCATTCCCGCGCCTTCCAAGCGGTTTCCGGCTACCTTGAGCGGCGATCGCACCCACGCACTTGATTATTGCGCGGAAATGGACTCTTCATGAGTTTGTATATCTGCGTATATATATATATATATATATATATATATATATATATATATATATATATATATATATCGAGGTTCCCCTCCAACCGCTAACCGGTTGGCCGGACGATCGGCCAATGCGGAGAATGCATTGGCCAATCAGCAACAGGCATGTAACCCCCTCCTCCCACCAAATTAAAATTGAGCGACACGAACCAGAGAGATGGAAGAATATAAGTTTTGGTGGAAATCCTGCTTTCGGTTTAGACTCTAGAGATGTTCGCAGACAGATGGGCGGACGGTCAGACAGACAGACGTTTTGCCGTCAATCGATTTTTCGGTATGAAGGACCCACAAAACATGGATTCTCTCTACACAACGTGTTTGAGGAAGTAATGTACTATGATTAAGGTGTTCGGGGAAGAAATGTCGAAATTTCGAAAATAAGCTCGTAAGACAATTTTAAGCATATTTTGTCTAATAAACTCATTGGATATTCCGAATGGCTGAGCAGCAATAAACATTCAAAAGATGGTTTGAAAAAATACTTTCTATGCAAAAATTTGCATTGCAGAAGCATAAAAACACGCCAGAAACTAGTAAATTGTTTATTATTTACAGAAGAAATTAATATATTTGTTCAGAAAAAAATTAACTCGGAAATGAAAAAGCACTCAATTTACACAGGTGGCAAAAACGTCAAATGCTGACTCACTAAGTACTACTGAAGACTATTTGTTTTAAACCCTTGTGTTCCTCATTCTTTAGGTCATGCATTCCTATCAACTCTTTATTCAAATCCCTTAGTTCTGCCACTGTAGTGCACCTGAATTGCTTGCTTGCGAGCTTTACGGCCTAAAAGAAGCATATTTGTTAAGAAACAAAGGAAACTTGTTTGATTCTCATTGGCACACTTCTAACACATTGAATGTTGAGTGCAAACAATGCACAGTTCTATCGTGTTTACTACTGCATAATTTTAGTTTGTTAGACAGTTTATTAGACTATTATAGTTAGTTGACGTCTTTGAAACAACGCAAATTCCGGAGGATAGAAAATTTGGAAATGGAATTAAGGTTTCCGGTTTGCTTCAATGTTGTTGTAGCCACTGAGTTGTAACAGGTCAGGAACGTTGTTAATTTACTTTTGTATTTACTTTTACCAATTGATACGCTAATAAGCAATCTATCTAAAATTATGAATCAATGAGCATTATAGACCAATGACAATTGCTTACTCCATGGTCATTAGTCCTTGTTGAGCTTTGCATATCTGCCACTTAGCTACCGCGGTCACCCGGGTAGTACATGGATTTACACTTATATAATAGTAATAAGTGTATGGTGGTTTCAGTTCATTAGGAAGCCGAAAAATCGAGAAAATGTTGAAAAAATGTCCTTTAGGCGACCAAAGAAGGTATCTGGAAAGAGAATCAGGTACTCTTAGTTCAGACTAAAGAGATTAGAACACTAACTACTGTGAGAAAGTGTGTGCTATTGGATGGAGCCACTAGACTTATTTGTTTATTTATTTATAAAATATAAATTTTATAAATAAATAAACATACGAGGAGAAATTTTAATGAAAATATTTCGTGCGGGTTTTCAGAAAATATTTTTAGAAATAGCATAACTTTTAGACACTAATTAAGCGAAATCAGCACATTTTTTTAAAAAAAAAATGTATTTGACCTTTTTAAAGAGCTGATTTTTTATAAATCTTTGTTTAAAGCAAAACTCGCAAAGCTCAGCTTTTCCTCAAAAACATTTTCGAAAAAATGGAGCTATAGCCAAAAATGGGACTAGCACAATATTTTTTTACCAATGTGGAGAAAATTTAAAGAAAATATTTTGAGTGTTTTTTGAGGAAATAATCGTAAATTTCAAGCGCAAATAACGCAAAACTACTCTTTTTTTTCCAAAAATTGTACATGACCGTTTTTAAGAACTAATTTTGTCCAACAAACTTTGTCTGAGGCAAAAATTTATATCTACAATTTTGTAGTTTTTAAGCTTTTTTTTGCAATTTTCGAAAAACTGAGCAATACCCGAAAAAGCGACTAGCACCATATTTTTACCATCCTTTATTACAAAAGTGAAGACAAACAACAAAAAACAATTTTTTTAAACAAAAAATTTTGAGCGGTTTTTAAGAAAAAAATGCGATAATTTCAAGCGCATATTTCGCAAAAACTACTCATTTTGTCAAAACCTTGTACATGACCTCTTTTAAAGAGCTAATTTTGTACAACAACTTTGAGGCAAAAATTTCTATCTTCAATTTTGTCGTTTTAATTTATTTTTGTTGTTGCAATATCCGAAAAATCGGGGATGTCAACGAAAATGAGATCTGAACCAGTCTCTTAAACGTCCTTCGCACTATTCAACATCAAAATGTAATCAAAAAATTTGCGGCTGGTTTTGAGAAAATTTGGAAAATGTTTTTGAGGCTTCATGTGAAACATCAAAAAATCAAAATATCTGTTTGAAAGACCCATAGCCACGAGCCATCGATTGAGGAATATCAATTTTGAAGAAAATCGGCAGAAGGGTTTAGGCGCTAGCGTTGACCACTGACGGACGAACACCCACAGACAGACGGAAGTTTTGCCGTCAAACGATTTTTCGGTATCAAGATCCAACAAACATGGATTCTGGGTACACCACGAGTTAGAGGATTCCCCCGCCCCTAAATTATCAACAGGATTTATACACTTTTTCGTTACCAGAACCGTTTTCTGGCGCACGATTACATAACTTTCTTTTATGAAGAATTTGTAAGGCAAGAAAGTAAAAAAATAGATTTATCATCATTAATCCGCACAGAGTGCATTGAGATATCTGATATTTCTTCAAAAAATAGAAATATAAGCAAGCTACACATTGATAAAAAAAAATTGAAAAAGGCAAAAAGTGGATATGTGATGTTTCAATTATAATCAATTCATTTTAGAAATTCAGCACTGAATGCAAGTATTAGTTATATTAATAACTAATAATTAATTACATTAATCATATATTTTTCTCATCACCGTCATTATGAACATGGAGGTGGATAGGCTTCTGTGCTTGAAGGAGACTTTGTGTCTTCTCACTAGTTCTTGCTTCTCTTACCTAATTTCTTTCGCAATTATTTTATATTTTCTTCTTTCTTTTTTCTCTTCTTTTTTCTTTTTATTTCAATACTCTTAATTTCTTGTGTAATTATTATGTAATACTTTTGCAGGTGGGGGACCTTCATCATGCTTCTCCTGCTACTATATCACGTTTAGGGATGGTGTACATGAATTACAAAGACCTTGGCTTTTCACCCTACTGGGAACGTTGGGTGTCAATGAGGGAAGGTCAAGAGAAAATAAAGTTTCAGTCTCTCTATCAGAAATACATTCCTGAAACTATGGAATATATACTAACATTTAAGGATGAAATAAAGCTGATTCCTCAGACATCACTGAATATGGTAACCTCAGACTAAACAATTTTTTAGTGATTTACCTTAAATAAACTTATTCACAGATGGTCCTAAAGAGTGCTTTGAAATTAGATTTGACAATAATTAGATGATGGCATGAGGCATTCACTGAAGGTGGTAAAGGTTGGTCAAATTAATTGGTCAAAAAATCTTTACCTGACTTTATGCTCTAGCCATCTACAGGATAAACAATATTTCGTTTCACGTACTGTTTACATTTGTGTACTGCACCTGCTTGCAGATCGTGCAACTCTGTTTCATGCTAGATGCTCTAGTTCCTGTTAGAGAAGAAGAAGAAGAGATTCCTTCTGGCAGAAAGTTAAGTGAACTTTGGTTTGAAGAAGTTGCAGAACCAAACCCAGAGAAAAGACTCAGTAAAAGTACATCTAAAGAATCATACAAAGAAGTTGAAGGAGTAAGCATTAAATCAGAAGATGAAGGGGAAAAAGAACTTCCTTTATGTGATCCTTTGGAAAGCATCTTCCTCTTTGCTATTTATTGGTCAATAGGTGCTACCTTGAATTCAAGTGGACGCATTCTTCTGGATGAATTCTTGAAGAAGCAGTCAAATGCTAAAATGATCAAGGATTCTTTGGAGGAAAAGGCAACAATGAGTAAGTGAGAGTTGTGAAAGTGAATGTCATGAGTACGTGATGTGGACAATATTACCTGATTGTAATTGTTTACACCTTCTATGTGGATGATCTCTCAACACAAGTTAAAAAATATTTGATTTAAAATTAGTGTTATGTAAAAATGAGCTTTAAAACTGAGTTATTACAAATCAATTTTTTCCAAATTTTTAGCATTAAAGTAATACCAAAGTTTCTGATATATCAGCTCCATTTGTAATTTATTTAGAGGTCTGCTCAGAGATCCTAAATTTTGTTTATGATCCCTAGTATGTTCTGCTTTAATCATTTCACAGTACAAATTCCGACTACAATGCCTACTCTCTATGATTATTGTCTGAATGTGAAAGAGGATGTTTGGGAAGCATGGGATTGGCTAGTTCCTGAGTATGTACACAATTCTAAAATGAAGGTCAGTGATGTTCTCATACCAACCTCAGATACTGTGAGAGTAACATGGCTTCTGAATCTTGTGAATCCGGTGAGAAATTTTTAAGAGTGAATAGTGATTATTTTCCTATATTCATTGAAATATGAAAAATTACTATCATGTGTTTTGCAAAAGCCAAACTATAAGTAATATTTGTTTTTTTTCAGCATTTCTTTAGAAGACAATACGGGAATTTAAAGGTGAATATTTATTCACATTTTTAATACCAACATTAATTTATATTCACATACTTAATTTCTGTATGTAAACAGAATCAAAAAATAATTAACTTTGTCCTGTAATGTGCTTACAGCTGAACAGTTTACCATTGGATATCTAATAATTTCCATTTCAGCAATGAATTTGGTTACTCTTCTTTAGTCCAAGTGAGCATGTGATAGGAGGCAGGCAGGTAGACACAATACTTCATCACGAGATATTACAAAATAGTTATACAAATTGTTTTCCAACAAAAATTAAAATTGCTGATAAATACACAAGGCATGTAGCTGATGTTTTATGGACTTTCATGTTAACGAATTACGGACTGGCTCCTCAGGATGCTATACAATTCTCAGATATTTTCTTGCAGAGTTGCTAGCAACAATCTTTGCTTTTCAAAAACATGAAAAATCTTCAAAAGGTTCAAGAGAGCTAGTATAACTCAGAAAATAGCTATATTTTCTTAAAATAATAACAGATGCCTCAAAAGTGAGAGCAAAAGATACTAAAAATTCTTATCTGCAGTGTGCAGTGTGTTAAGCAAGGTTTAAGTTAAGAAAAATTAAGTTAAGTAAAATTTAAACATTTTTAAGTTGTCCAATTAAATAACCATTCATGATATCAAGTGTACATGCATATGTGGTTTATACTTGTTCTAATGAGACCATAGTCATGCATACAAAAATGTTTATATGCATCTCTCTGTAACTCATTGGGCTCTACTTTGTTAACTCACTGATTAATCTACAAATTATTTTTGATTTCGTTGCACAATGATAAGGGATTTATGTTCCAATTTTGTCAAACATTTTTAAAATGTTGGAAATTTCCTTTAACTTTAAATAATAAAATATTTCTCCAGGTGAAAAATCCTTTATTACTTATTGGAGAAACTGGAATAGCAAAAACATCAATAGTGCATCACTTCTTGCAGAAGTTATCACCAGATGATTATGTAAGTTTGTTTTGTTGCTCTTTTTCCTCTGATTTATAAATGGGAAGTATGATTCTTATGTTTTCATTTTGCCTAATTTTATGTTGGTATATTTATAGAACATTATTTAAATGATGTAAATGTAATGTCTTTTTACAGCAAAATTACTATTTTATTTCAGTTGTGTGCAATGTGCACACATGAACAACTAAATGGCTTTTCTTGATATTCATTTTACCATTGTCTGGTTATAGTTTCAAACATGGGTGTCTTTGACACATAAATGTGGAGGGGACACGAAAAAAGTGTATACTTGTGCCAAATTTTAGTTAATGACATGACTTTTTATTAATTTGTTACTCATTACATTTAATTACATTACTACAAAGTGGTTGAGTTGTTTCAGGGCAACCACTGTTGCCACTGCAGCAACTCTGACCAAGAGGTCCTAGGGTTGAAGTACTGATGGTAGTGGATATTCAACACAAGCTAAAAATCTAGGTAGAATTCATCCATTGTCTTGGGAAGAATTCAAGTGGCTGACTCAAATCAATATTTTTCTGTGGTTTCACTGATCATTAACTGGCAAATGGAGCAGAGTCCTAAGAAAGAGGCCATGGACTGTGTAAGATTGTCCTTCATCCTTGTTTCCTCCCGTCTCTTTACATACACTTACTTGCTATCACACATGTTAGGACATAAGTTAAGGGCTTTGAGTTTTCCCAGCTGAGGTGTAGCCCCACTACCACAGATACTTGGAAATGGTAAACCTCTGCAAGCCAATGAGTAGATCGGCATTGAATCTCATGTTCAGGAAGGGAAGGAACATTTCCATCTCCTGCAAATGCAGTACCTCCTGACATACATTACACTTATAGGACTAATGACCATACTTGGCCCCACCAGGAAACTCAAAATAATCAAGCATTTCAAATAGTACAATTTAATCAAAGTTTGGAACCCTGGGCGCATGCTAATAGACCTGTAAGTGCACCTGGCTCTGAAAGCACCTACCTAAGACACTACAGTTTGAACTAATTTTCACTATACCTCTTAAAAGTAGGTGAAGGTTATTAAATTATTTGAACTTTCCTAGGTTATATTGAATCTAAATTTTTCTTCACGTACTACTTCCTTGGATGTGCAACTGGATATGACAGCTGCTCTTGAAAAACGTACAAAGAGTACTTATGGACCTCCTCGTGGCAAGAATATGCTCTGTTTCATTGACGATCTCAACAAACCACAGGTACATTAACGCATAATATGTTACAAATACATTTGACAAATTTTAATTTTTAGTTCGAGATTCCCTTTGAAATAGAGAGAGTAAAGATCAGTTGGAGGAATTATGTAAATGAATTATGGAAATTGTGGTAAATCATGAAATCGCATAGAGGAATCGTAATTGTCATAATAACTACTTTCTAGAAAGTAGTATTGTAATCGTGCGCCGGAAAACGGCGAAATATCGTCAGAAAATCTTTTATAGCTGGACTCTGGTATCGAAAAAGCGAATAAATCTTGTTCCTGTATATTCGAAATTGCTTCCTGTAATGGATAGTACGGGTGGGTTCTTGATACCGAGAAAACGGCTGAATGTTCGTTGGTCCGACCTCCGCCTTAACGCTATTTCCTAAACAGTTCATGTTCTTCAAAATTTTCTCATAAATTGACATTCCTGGATGTATTTGAAGAAATACGAGGCCTTTTAGGTTTGACACGGATGTTTTGATTTTTGGCGGTACTTTACATGAAGTCTCAAAAACATGTTCAAACTTTTCTAAAAAATGGCTCCAACTTTTTTAATAAAAAAATTGTCACCGGACTCTTAAAAGAAGGGCACAGATCTCTTTTTCAATGAAATCCAGGATTTTTCGAAAATTGCAAGAGTTCGGCGTCTTCCTACAACCACAATATTGAAGATAAAGATTTTTTCCTTAATGAAATCTATTCTTTTAAGACAAATCTTGAAATATGGGTAAGTTCAATTTTTCGAAAATATGAGTAGTTAACGCGTAATTTTGTGTGAAATAAAGGCAATTTGGAAACTATTTTCTCCAAAACGGCTCTATGTTTTTCTTTAATTTTTAGCTTCGTGTGAATCAAAGGACGGCAAAAGGCTTGGTGCTAGTTTCGTTTCTGGCAAACACTGTATTTTCGGAAATTCAAAAAAAGTAACATTGCAAAACTATAAATTTGAAGGTAAAGATATTTATCTTCAACAAAAATCTGTTCAAAAAATCAGATCTTTATAAAAGGTCATATACATTTCTACTACTAAAAGTTGCCCTTAATAGCGCAACCTATCGCTCCATTGAGCGGTTTGCGCGCACTGAGCTCAGTCCGATCTTTTTGGTCACACTTTGTACGTGATATGAACATTTCGGATTTTTATCCAAATATTGCTATTTTTCTTTCTTTTCTGTGACCTTGTCTGATTTCGGGGCCTATTGAATTTGAAACCGATATTTTAATTTTGGAAGATACTTTACATGAAGCCCCTGGGCAATTTTCCGAATATATATATATAT